AGAGTTCAAGCCCCAGGAGCAGGGCAAGGAGGGAAGGTGGAGAGAAGGAGCACAATGGTGCCCACCGCCTAGTGCAGAAGAGCCAGGGCTCTCAGAAATGGAAAAGGACAAGGTAAGCTGGAAGGAGCTGCAAGTTCAAGCAGGAAACAAGTCAGAACTCCAGTGACCCACACACTCTAGAACATTTCTACACATTCATCCTCAAGTCATCATGAAAACATCACCCTGAAGGATCCAGAGTTTGCCAGAAAATCAAGAGTCCAGAGCCCTTTATCCATGGGATGGAGTACAAGCCTCCTACTGAATGGGTGAAGCCTCAGTCTGTACCAGACCCCCTCCAGGCCCTGCGCAGGCACCTATGGTAATGGTAATGTTCACCTTTCGCCTAAGGAAGTGCTTTGTGGCTTAGCTTCAGCATATTTAAATCATTGTAGCATCCGACACCTATGCTCTACTGTTAAGTAAAATAGGAATTACTTTCAATCACTTGCCCAGGATCTCAGGAGAGACTTGATGACCCAGCCTGCTACTAAGGTACGCAGGGGTAGGCAGTGCCTGAGGGGGGGGGGGGGGGGGGATGAGCAGGGAGATGGTCTACAGGGGGAGGGAATCATCCCACTGCTGAGTATGGCACTCCATCAAAACTTACAAATTGTTCCCTTCTGAAAAATTCTATTTGTTATTTGTGGTACTAGCTGACTGTAAATAATTAAAACCATGGACAGTGAACCTAAGGATGGGGCAGGGAGAGATGGTATACACACAGACCCCATGGTCTCCAAACCCAAAAGATCTTGCTTCAAAAGGGGCGGCATTGCCAGGTGCCAGTGGCTCACACCTGTAATCCTAGCTACTCAGGAGTCTGAGATCTGAGGATCACGGTTCAAAGCCAGCCCAGGCAGGAAAGTCTGTGAGACTCTTATCTCCAATTAACTACCAGAAAACTGAAAGTGGAGCTGTGGCTCAAGTGGTAGAATGCTTGCCTTGAGGGACAGTGCCAAGGCCAAGAGTTCAAGCCCGACTGACTAAAAAAAAAAAAAAAAAGGTTACATCAGGGCTGGGAATGTGGCTTAGTGGTAGAGTGCTTGCCTAGCATGCATGAAGCCCTGGTTCCATTCTTCAGTACCACATAAACAGAAGAAGCTGTAAATGGCACTGTGGCTCAACTGGTAGAATACTAACCTTGAGCAAAAAGAAGCTTAGGGACAGTGCCTAGGCCCTAAGTTCAAACCCCAGGGCTAACCAAAATTTAAAAAGAAAAATGAAAAAAGTCTGCATTACCTGGCAGTAAAGCAGTATCACACTAAAGATCCTGATTAAGATGGCCAGGACTCTGAAGCCACCTACCTACTGTTTATTTTATAGGATATACAGCTTAACCTTTACTTGATTTCACAAACCACCAAGCAAAGCTTTATAGAAGCAACTTCAAAAACCCTGCCCTTAGGAGCCAGCACAGCCTCTACTTTCTCTCCCTGCCAATCCCCAGCTTTTCTCTCTTGGCCTCTTCCCTTGGTACAACCCCAACAGTTTTCTTCAAACTGCAGCTCTAAGAAGCCCGGCTTAGACTGGTCAGGGTTTCAGCAAGACCTAGAAAATGATTAACTGAGTTCCTTTTTCCTAAAAACACGGTTCCTTTACAGCAAGAGAAAGGTCATAAAGCTGCTAAAGGTCACAGAATTTAGTTCAAAGAGCTCATTCATTTACTGGGTGGAGTACTTCAAGGCAGAAAAAAAATCCACCCAATATACACACACAAAACCACAGCGCAACATACACACCCACCCTGAGAAACTTGGAGCCTCCTGCCCGCAAAGCAAAACCAGGGTGGGTAGGGGTGGGGTTTAGGCAGGGCCGCCGCCCCTCAGGGGCCTCTGGAGGGAAGGCAGTGCCCACAGCTCTAGGGAGGAGCGAGATCCCCAAGCCTAGCGCCAGCAGCCAATGGGGACCGCCAAGTGCAGGAGCACCAAATTAGGAAATCACTCAGCCAGCCCCCACCCTCTCCTCCCAGGATCAGGGGAGGAAAGGCCGGGCATGTTTGTAAACATGGCAACCCCGCCCCAGGAAGAAAAACTGAAGTCTCTAGGCCAGCAAAACCACCAAGATTCTGAGGTTTCTAACACCCAGCAGAACTCTACACGAGAAGAATCACAGATGTCCACAGAGGCCCACTGCTGTAAGGCTTAATTAAAGGTCCACAAGCCAGAGAGCAGGTCCCTTAGTCCCGGTAGTTGACCAGGAACCCAAGAGGAGCCAATGGGAAGCAGCAGGGGGACAAAGATGGGGACAGACAGGAGGATGGGGAAGAGCAGGTAGGCAGCACGGACACCTGGGACCAGAAGGGAAGGAAGCACTCAGCTGAGGACTCACTGACAGCAGAGCTGCCACCACCTCTGCCACTGGGTACATGCTGGCACACGAGGCCTCTGGGGATCCACAATGCCTGACTCTACCAGAAACAGTTCCTTCAGCTGGGCCAGATACACTAGCCAAGGCCCCTTAGTGGCCACCTGGTTTGACTTCCATAGGCCACAAGCAGCAGGGCACTCACATCTGAGCCCCTGCAGCATTGGTATGGCTTAGCTTTGTCCCAGCGGCTGCGTTAAGGTGACACTGGAAGTAGATTTAAGCACACGTGAGGTTTTAATAGCCTAAACCATATCACACACTGTCCATACTGCCCACTATGGCACACAACTCAGTGGGTTTTAGCGTGTTCACAAAGCTGCAGAGCCTTTACCGTATTTAGTTTAAAACATCCTTACCAGGCCACATGGACCCCCTGAACCTCAAACCTGTGAGAGCAATTCCTGCTTCCTGACTGTGGCCAATGCCCACCCTGGCTATCCCATGCAAATGGCACCACGCACTACGACCATACAATACATCCACGCAACCACATAATATATCCATGAGACCATGTACTAGGTGGCCCTTTGTGACTGGCACTTCTCATATGGGCATTAGGTCTTCAAGGCTGACCCACTGGGACCAGGTATGCAGGTCTTATACCCTCCTCACGCCCTTGTGATTTCCTCTTACATCAGGCCACACACCGTAACTTTCCCCAGGTATGTGGCTGTGAGTCCCACCCCGGGGCCATCGTGAGCAGTGGGGCCACAACACCCAGGCTAAGGCTATGTGACTATGAACTGCTAGGTCATAGGGGGGCCCTCTGTGTAGCCTTTTTGTTCCACAGCAGCTGCATCATGTCACCACCGAGCATTTATCCGTGTGTAACTTACATATACATCTGGGAAGGAGAGAACATTGCCATGGCTCTGAGGACAGAGCCCCTGCAGAGCCTTGTTGTGTGGGATTGCAGCCAAGTTAGACATCTGGAGCACAAGGTCACATACAGAATTTGGGCATTAGAATGGGAGGCCGAGAATAAAAGTAATCTCTCATAAAGATACAGGCACTGAATGGTACCGCACAGCCAATGCAACGCTGGGCTTTGCTAGTCATTCACCACCACCATCATCATCTATGAAGTTCAGGCTGGCTCCAAGGCCAGGACCTGAGGAGGACAACCCCCACTCTGGCTCTGGGAAAGAGGACATCAACTCCAACTCCAACACAAATGATTCCCCGAGGAGCACATTTCATCACTGGAAAACAAAGCCAACAATGGAAAACTAGTGCAGGAAGCCAATCTGGTTGCTGCTCAGTGAGTCAAGAGACAAGTCCAGCCTAGTGTGGTGGCCCTTACTGGTATGTAGGAGGCGGAGCCAGGCCAGCCTGGGCTACAAAGAAAAAACCCTATCTCAAAAAAAAAAAAAAAAAACCAAGACCAGCCAGGCGCGCAGTGGCTCACCCCTGTAATCCTAGCTACTCAGGAGGCCGAGATCTGGGGATCACAGTTCAAAGCCAGCCCGGGGAAGGAAAAGTCCATGAGACCCTTATCTCCAATAAACTATTCAGAAAACAGGAAGTGGCACTGTGGCTCAAGTGGTAGAGCGCTAGCCTTGAGCTGAAGAGCTGAGGCTCAGAGTTCAAGCCCCACTACCGACAAAAACAAAACAAAACAAAAACAAAAAAAACCCAAGGCCTTGGAGTGCAGCTCTAGGCTGGAGCTCTCTTGCCTAGCATGGAACAGGACCTGGGTTCCATCTTCAGGACAGAGATAGGAGGGAAAGAGGGAAAGGGAGATATGATGCTTCAAACTGAACCTGGTGAGGTGTGAGGTACAAGATGCAGGGGATCAGGTGAGGCTGGCTACAGGAGGGTCCCACATCTGAGACCCAGGGACAGCTGCACAACCCTGTCCCACTGGGAAGTGTTTTTTTACAGAGTGTGGCTGGTGGGTAGCTGAGAGCCCTGAGCCCAGCAGGGCTGGGTGAAGCCTTTTACAACATGGAGCCACCGTGCTCCTTTCCCATCAGGGTGAGCTTTGCTGGTAAGACAGAAGCGCCGGCAGAAGCTGCTAGGTCACAACAGCCGCAGCCTCTGTACTGGCTCCATGGGACACTGCACCTTGAGGGCCACATACCGCTTTCAAGACAGAGAGAAGCAGAGACCTCGGAGATAAAACAGTAGAACACCTTAAGATGGAGAAACCCTTGTTTCCCTATCTTTCTTCTGGATGAGGATGTGGGTGTCCACAGAAGGGCTTGTGCTGGGGGCAGGGGCGTGTGGCAGTACCCAGGAACACTTGTGAAATCAGAGTGGGGGCTCTGTGTGGAGCTTTGGCTACTCCAGTCCCCCCTGAAGCTGTGCTCTAGGGTTTTTCCTTCACAGAATAGAATCAAATGATAACTAGGAACTTCCACAAATGAAGGTTACAGAAGCAAAGTTCACCTCACCCTAGCATGTCAACATGACTTTAAACATTTTCAACGTCTGTTACTTTCTCTGAGCAGGCTCTAACATGTAAGTCCTGAGTTGAAGAGGGGTGGGTTAGGGGACGAGCCTTCGAGGAGAACCCACCAGAGCCCACTTCCACAGCCAGGCCCACCCAGGTTGGTAAGAAGAGTCTGGGCTCCTGCAAGGCAGCTTACCTGATGGTGCCGGTTGGGGAGGGGATGGGGCTGACCAGGCTGCGGAGATCCGGCTCCGGAATGTGGATCTTCAGTGGGGAGATCTGAGGGTAGAGCGGTCGCAGGGGAGAAGCTGGAGCCTCTTCTTTATGGTACAGGGATGTGAACTGGATCTTGATGGCTGTGCTGGGGAACCGGAAGGTACACCTGTAACAAGAGGAGAACAGCAAGTCAGGTCCTGAAAGGAGGAGGCTGAGGTCCAGTGGGGCCTGATCACATGGATCCTGATCACCACATGACTGCTCCAACACAACCCTTGTGCTCACAGGACTGGTATGGGGATGGCACTTCCTGTGCTCTCCTTAAGACCCCTATGGACACAAGCATAGGGCCACTACGGCATCAGCTAGCCCCTGCCTGTGCACAGGAACAGCACAGACCCAAATAGCCCTGCAACACACCACAAGGCCGTACACAGAGCTCTCAGCAGACGCGGCCCTATCGGTCTGCCAGCAGCTGTGGTGATGCCAGATGTGGTTTGTGTGTGGTTCACAGGGAAAAGAACAGAAAGGACAGAGATGTCAGTCCTTCCCCGATAGCTGAGGAAGGGCTAACGCAAACAATGCCTGACAAATGCTCTGGGCTTCCCTGCCTCCAGCCTGTGGCTTTCCTACTCAAGGCAGCATGCCAATATACTTGGCCTTAAGCAGCACCAAGGTGGCTCAGTGGTAGAGTGCTTGCCTTGCATGCATGAGGCCCTGGGTTCGATTCCTCAGCACCACATAAGCAAAAAGAAAAAAGCCAGAAGTGGTGCTGTGGCTCAAGTGGTAGAGCGCTAGCCTTCAGCTGAAGAGCTGAGGGACAGCGCCCAGACCCAGGCCCAGAGTTCAGGCCCCACGACCGACCAAAAAAAAAAAAGGCACCAAGACCATGCCAGGGGCTCAAGATAGGCAAGGACTATGTGCATGGTCCTCTTTTCTAAGAAACTGCAGCCTGTCACAGTCTGGGCAGTTTGCCTAGGACACCTTCCAATTTCTAAACAGAGAAATTGCCACCTACTACGCTGCTAGCTTGAGAGTATCACAACAAAACCTGCCAAGCTAGCTGCACACATGGGCTGCACTGTGCACAGCCCCCTCTGGTGCCCACATCCCCACAGCAAAGACGGCCAGCATGCTGGAGGCTGGTGGAGATGCCCTGGCCTGATGCAGCTGGGCCTGAGCGGGAGTGGCCGCCCAGGGAGCCTGATGCTGGCAAAGCCACCCGGCCCTGTGAACGTGCTTGTGCACACAGCTCTCATTCCATCTTCTTCACACTAAGTGTTTCATGAACAAGACTTAAGGGCAGGTCTTGTATCTGTGTCCAACAACAGTGAGATGTGGTGAACAACTGGTGACTTTATATAAGGATCCCCTGCAGAGATGAGGGGCTCTTTATAGGGGGACCCACTGCAGAGGTGGAGGTCTTTACTGGAGATCTACCACAGAGCTCTTCCCCTCACCTGCTTGGGAGCCACTTGTACACCTGGCAGAGGAGCTGGAAAGCACCCAGCCAGGCTTCAGCCATTCAGCAAAAATGTGGGAGGCATGTTTATATTCCCATATGTAAAACCAGGGGTAACAGGCATTCTGGAAGACAGGCTGGGTGCCCCAATACTGCAGACGGGGTGGGGGTCTGCAGTGTTGAGTCGGCATCACTCCTAGAGTTCCATTTGCTGGGGCGGGGATGGGGGGGGGGGGACCCTGAGATGTCACAGGTTTGAGAGTATACAGAGTCATTTCCACTTTCTCAACAAAGAGCCAGTGGCCTTCTCCTAAACTGTGGCTCCTCAGTCCTGAAGGCCAAGCGGTCTTTATGAGTCACACAGCCCACATCTACCCACCCAAGACAGAGACCTAAAGAAAAGTTTATGGAAAAAAAAAAAAAGAAGAAAAGAAACGGTTTGTCGCCAGGAGCCTGGCTGGGGCTGGCTAAGGAGGGGCCCATGTGTGAATGCACAGGGAGCGTGTGGTGTGTATGTGACACACCCCTGTTGCCCTACATCCCACAGGAGGACAGCCCTATACATCAGCTGTGTCCACGCCACTGCACCTCACCGCAGTCTGCCAGGAGAGCTCAGTGGAAGCGGCTGAGCTCCTGCACCGCAAAGGCCCTGAGTTAGCATGAGATCCCATCACATCAGTCACCAAGGCCAGCCAGGACAAGGATACACCCTGGCCACACGTGGGTGGGGAGACAAGAGGGGAGGCGAGAGGACATGGTGTGTAGGGCTCTAGACCTGGGCCTGACTCCACTCCAGATGAATCACAGACCTTCCTCCACGCTTTAACCAGCTCCCTGGCCAGGAGGGAGTGATGGACATTACACAAGGAGGTGCTGTGCAACTGACAGCACAGAACCCCATCCTGCCTGCACTGGGGTGTACCCTGAGTGTACACTGAGCTGTCAGTAAAGCCTAAGCCCGGCCCCAGGACAATCTCCTGTAACTGCTACTTCCCAATTAAGACCTAACCATAAGCACAGTCCTAATAACTGTGGTGACAGCTATTTTAATACCAGCTCCTGACTCACTTTTCTAAATCTCATAGTGAGCCAGCCAGACATCCTGTTACTAGGAGAGGCGGAGGGAGGAAGAGGAGGACAATGAAGGGGGAGGAGGCGCACTACATCCATCACCCCAGCAAGTCTGGCCTGCCCCTCAGCCTTGCTTACCTGGGAGTGTGGGGTGCTTGCAGCCTCTGTAAGTCACATCGCTCCCTGACATGTTGGGAGCCTAGCAGAACATTCATTCGTTTTCTCTGTGTGTGTGTGTGTGTGTGTGTGTGTGCGCGCTCCCTGACATGTTGGGAGCCTAGCAGAACATTCATTCGTTTTCTCTGTGTGCGTGTGTGTGTGTGTGTGTGTGTGTGTGCGCTCCCTGACATGTTGGGAGCCTAGCAGAACATTCATTCGTTTTCTCTGTGTGCGTGTGTGTGTGTGTGTGTGTGTGCGCGCTCCCTGACATGTTGGGAGCCTAGCAGAACATTCATTCGTTTTCTGTGTGTGTGTGTGTGTGTGTGTGTGTGTGTGTGTGTGTGTGTGTGTGTGTGTGTGTGCGCTCCCTGACATGTTGGGAGCCTAGCAGAACATTCATTCGTTTTCTCTGTGTGCGTGTGTGTGTGTGTGTGCGCGCTCCCTGACATGTTGAGAGCCTAGCAGAACATTCATTCGTTTTGTGTGTGTGTGTGTGTGTGTGTGTGTGTGTGTGTGTGTGTGTGTGTGTGTGTGTGTGTGTGCGCTCGTGCATATGGGCCAGTTCTGGAGCTTGAACTCAGGGCCTAGGCACCGTCCCTGAGCTTCTTTTGCTCAAGGACTAGCACTTTACCACTTGAGCCACAGTACCACTTCTGGCTTTTTTTGTGTATGTGATACATACATGCTAGACAAGCACTCTACCACCAGGCCACATTCCCAGCCCTTGATTCTTTTTTTTATTTTTTGGTTGGTTGTGGGGCTTGAATTCTCTGGGCCTAGGCACTGTCCCTGAACTCTCCAACTCAAGGCGAACACTCTACCATTTGAGCTACAGCGCCACTTCCGGTTTTCTGGTGGTTAATTGGTGGTAAGAGTCTCATGGACTTTCCTGCCCAGGCAGACTTTGACCAGCAATCCTCAGATCTCAGCCTCCTGAACAGTTAGGATTACAGGCGTGAGCCACCAGCTTTTTTTTTTTTTTGGTCGGTCGTGGGGCTTGAACTCTGGGCCTAGGCGCTTTCCCTGCACCCTTCAGCTCAAGGTGAGTGCTCTACCACTTGAGCCATAGCACCACTTCCGGTTTTCTAGTGGTTTGCTGGAGATAAATGTCATATGGATTTTTGTGCCCAGTCTGGCTTTGAATTGTGATCCTCAGATTTCAGCCTCCTGAGTAGCTAGGATTACAGGCGTGAGCCACCGGTGCCCGGCTTCAATCATTTTTTTTAATACAGGTTCTTGCTAGATACCCCAGGCTGCCTGCCCTCAAACTCCATCCATCTGCCTCAAGTACCTGATGGAACCAGCTCATCTGATTCCTAGGTGGAATTTTAATGAGTTGGTTGTAATTAAAGTCCTTTCTGAAAGTTTTACACTGTCTTGATCACATATGCCACCAGTTCTTCCCTGTGAAGACAGACCAGCAACATGCCTGGCAAGGAAGGGCGTAAGCAGGCACCCTCCCCCAAGCTCCTGCTCAGCACAGACAGAAGGCAGACCCACAGCTGCCTGGGTTGGACAGAGGAAAATGGCTGGCAGCAGGTATGGAATGTTCTAACAGCCTGGTATAGTGACTCATACATGTAATTCTAGCTACTTAAAGGAGGCTGAAACTGGGAGAATGGACATTTGAGGCTAGCCCAGGCAAAAAGTTTGCAAGATTCTGTCTCAATCAAGAAAAAGGCAAGTGAGATGGTGTGTCGCTATCACCTCAGCTGCCCAGGAAGCATAAACAGGAGGATCACAGTCCAGGCTGACCTGGGTATAAATATGAGACTCTATTGGAAACACAACAAAAGCAGAAATAGCTAGAGGTATGACTGAGTGGTAGAGTGCCTGCCTGGCCAGGGTGAGGCCACCGACTGTGTGAATGGCTGGTTGCACAGCTTTGGGAACCTCTGAATCACCAAAAGTCACAAACAGGAGGATTTATATGTTGCTTCCAGTAAAGCAAGAAGGATTTAAGACTGGGAAAAGCTGTTAGAAACTTGGCAACAGGTACTCAGATTTTGTGTGGTGTTAAGTGGCTCCTGGGCCCAGCAATGCACTGAGAGGGCCCAGTCCTATGGGGGACAGGCACCAGGGAAGGATATGCCTGCCAGGAACTGCTGAGCTACTGGGAGTGGGCAGAGACTATAAAGCCACTGGGTGGGAACCACCAGGCCACTGGGGGAGGGGGAACTGCCAGGCCACTGGGATGGTGCAGGGTGCCTTCCTCCCTTTTTTCCTCTCTCCCTCCAGGCAGCCCCTATGTTCTGCATAAGGGTAAGACTGGCAAGGACTAACAGAGCCTGACTGAGAGGCACTGCCTCTGTGAGCTTACAAAAAACAAGAACCAAAACTACACACTGTGAAATGCTGTCCTCCTCATATCCAATCCCAAAGCAAAGCATCACGACAGCCCCAAATATCTTCTTCTGAAAACAGCAATTTTGGTCTGGAGGTGTGGCTCAAGTAGTAGAGTACCTACCTAACAA